TACATATGTATACCCATGCACACACACACACACACACATATATATATATTTTTTAATAGGAATAGGAATAACGCGTTATTTGTAACACTGTTACTATTACTATTTTTCGTAATAACGATTTAGTAATAATGTTACAATTGTCATAACGGTAACGGTATAACGCCAGGATTGGAAAAGTTACTTTTGAAAAATAACATAACTATTACACGTTACTCATTGGAAAAAAACTCGTTACTTTACTCGGTAAATAATGAGTTAAAGTAACAAGTTACTTTTTTATGGTAATGAGTAACAATTCAGCACACATAGATTATATCAGCAATATTAATATATAACATTTCTGCAACACAGTTATGGAAATGTTATAATATTGCTGCCTGTATTTGCTGGAAAGTTACTTTGTAACAGTGACTTTTCCAACCCTAGGCGTATGTTACCGTTATGAAAAATTATAATGTCATTACCAAATTGTTATAAAAAAGTAATGGTGACAGCGATCACAAGAGAGAGAGAGAGAAGGAGAGAGAAAGTATAAACGCGTTATTTCCTTCCTTTATAATTTTGTTCTTTAAAAGTGCTGATGATAGTAAAATAAAAAAAATGCTTTTTTAGTTCTGTTAGTTCCATTACTAATAAAATATTCGTTTTATTATTAATAAAATATTTCAATGTAGCGGCTGCCACAAATCCATTCATAGGAGCCAATGCACCTACAAGTGACACCGGACCAACCAGATGGTAGACTGAATACGTGGAAAACTCATCACAAATATTGAATTCTTACTTATAATGTCGAATCTCTATAATAGCTTATTAACATAGCATAGATCATAAGTTAGTTGTCTTGATAAAATAGATCGGTTTAATGTTATAACTTTTCTGTTTTCTTTTATATATATATATATATAATATATAAAGTCCGTATTATTCTAAATCGTCAGTTATTATGTTATATTTAATCAAACCAAAGTTTAAGTCTCGATATAAGTATATATATTATAGTAATTTGACACAGCAATCTTCCATTACATATAGGAAACTATACTTTTACCATTTTCTTGTACCCGAATGGAAGTATGCTTAAATACTTGAACTTTTTCGATTTGTATAGTATTTAATTTTTATGTTTCGTGTATTTCTATATTAGAATTTTTAAAAGATTAGCACACATAATACGAGAGAAAAGTAAAATAAGATGAAGCCTTGTCGGTAAGAAATATAAATTCTTATACTAATTGTAAAACGTGGAATTACTCTGCTACATAACATAAGATAATAATCTTTTTCTTCTCTCTAGAATATTTGCACAGTTATTGATATCTGACTTCATAGTTATCTTAATCTGATCACCCATTTCTCCATTTAAGTTTTGTGATAACGTAACATCTGAAATATAATTATCTATACAAAATGTAAAAGACATAAGTGTATCAATAGTACAGAAGGATTTTTTGATGAATAAGTTGGCTACTCATTGGAGGCCTAATTATGAAGTTGTGTAACGTTTAACACTTAACTCTTTGAAACGTAATTAATAAGCTCCTTCTTTTTTAACTTTCAAATTAGACGCGCTCTTTAATGAAAATTTAATTTTGTATATGTTTTGCATATATTTATTAAATATATTATTAAATCGGCATATATTTATTATTAAATTTTGGAAAAAGATTTATTTAAGATAACAGAAAATTGATTCAAATTTATTTTAAAAAATATCCGTATTTATATACGATCTGTCCCAAAACTTTCTTCGTACTGACGATATTAGTGGCATCATCAATATAAATAAGGTTGTACTATCTTCATTGAAGTTCACAAATTCTGTAAGTTGAATTGAGGTCCCTCTAACGACTGTTTTACCACGTTATAAAACCATACAATATATCTTTGTGACACATATCGAAAAATCACGATAGAGCAAAGAACAAATATTAAATTTTGTGTAAAGTAAAAAATAAAGCGTTTGCAGACAAGAATTGATCGGATTCGTTCTCAATACCGAGCTCAAGGCAGCTCAATGTCACTTCTGCATAACGATGCTCCGGCTCACAATTAAGTACATCACCGTGCGTAAATTTCTCGCTTTCAAATCAGTTATCTTTGATCATCCTCCATATTCATCAGATTTGACACCATGTGACTAATTTTTGTTCCCGAAACTAAAATAGAGCTGAAGGGAAAGCAGTTCACTATTTTGGACATTCAGAATAAATCTCTCTTCGACCGAAACTATTTCGACCATTTCAAAAAAAGACTTTTAGCAGTGTTTTCTAAAACTATATGACCGTTGTAAACAATGTTTTTCTTCGGAAGGGATGTATTTTTAATTTATTTTTTTATTTATTATTATATATATTTTTATATTTTAATTAGATTATAAATAAACATTTATAATTATTATTTTACAGAGTGAATTTTAATAAAAATTTGGAAACTTTTGGGACAGACTGTGTGTGTGTGTGTGTGTGTGTGTGTGTGTGTACACGTATATGTATGTATGTATGTACACACAATTATACATACATGCATACATACACATTAATATTAAATTCGTATTTGCAATGTGTATATTAGTTGTTAATAATGTTAAGAAATAGCATTCACATGTGAATAATCTTTATTATGAAATATATAAAAACTTGTTGCGACTAGTTATCTTTTGCAAACTATAAATCTTGTACCATGCATTATAATACCTCATTGTGAGAATGTTAAGAACAATATGTAACATACATTGATCTTAAATTCAGTTTAATTTCAAAATATATGTATGCGTGTACATATACAGGATAAATTTGCCCGTATTACTTCAATTAAAGTGATTCAGGAAGAAGGAAAAAAACTATATAAACATATATAGGTCCGGGAATTAATTGTTTTTGAGTTACAGCCATTTTTATGTTAAAAAAATTGTAATTTATTTTTTTGTAGTCATAATCATAATAATCATAATTTATAACGATTATTACCAGATGGACAATTGAAAGAAAATAGGACATAAATTCCACATTGCGATGTGAGGATAGCCACTGACAGAAATTGGTGGAGACAATTCATGCGCTCCCAAATGATTGCATACAAATGAAGATCACAATCTTTAGTCATGAAGGACTGACTAGAGAGAGAGAGAGAATTACAATTTATTTACGATTTTTTTAACATAAAAATAACTACAACTCGGAAACACATTTTCGGATGATCTATGTTTATATAATTTTTTTCCTTCTTTTTGGATTCCTTTTTGGATCACTTTAAGATAAGTAGTGCGGATGTTTGCGGACATCTAATGCATATATATACAAGGTGTCCGGTACTCGGTGATAAATATATATATATATATATATATATA